CTGCCGCATTTACTTCAAGATCTTCGCTGCTACGCAATTCAGTCGTATCCACGGAAGAAAAATTACGTCGACTTTGGCGAAATATAGTGTGTTGTGGTGCTGGTGAACTTGGCGGCTAAAATACACTTTGCTAATCAAACAAAAAACATATGACCTGCTGCACAGGAGAAAAACACAAAAATGTATGAAAAAAAAAATAACAGGAATGTGCAGTGATTCAAAAAGCAACTCTGGAATCATTTAGCTCAACTGTAATTATCTGAGATATATTTCAGCATATCGTAATATCACGATTTAATCAAATGCTTACAAAGTGCTGGATCTATCAAACCATATGTGTCACCAGGCAATAAGGTTACAATAGTATGAAAAGCTAAAGGATTTTATATTAACAGATTTTACAGAAGCTAAAAAGCACATTCTTCCAAATTTAACTTGAAATCACTACAAACACGCTTTACAAAGGTAGAGAAAAAGTAACACCTGCTCGCCTATCATTGTTGCAATGAAGGAACTTGCAAGCTCTACATTACTCACTGCCGGAGGAGTTTCAGCATTCGCCAAACGGTGGTCAAGCTCTTGTTGATGATCATCCTGACCCAGCAAATTAGCCTGAAGCATTTTCCCAAAATAAATAACTGTGCAGTAGTAATAAGAAGTATTTATTTAAACTCTACATAAAGTTGCCTTTTTTAGTGAAGCATACCGACTGCTGAGGTTGATGGGACATAAAGGAGGAATCCATCGTTTTGAAATCCTGTCCCAAATCGACCTGAACAAAAAGAATGCTTTTATGAAAATATATAAATATGTTCTGTCAGTACTTTACGAAAAAAACTTCGACTTTAAGAAAAAGCTTCAACAACTCTAACTTCAGATGATTATCTAAAACAATGTTAGATCAAATTCTCTCGCCTTTCCCTTTCTTCTCTTCTGCTCATCAAATTTATAGATAAGAAATGCGTACTTCTTCCTTGATGTATGGATGATGTCTTCGTAAACCAGCTAACATTTCACTTGCACGTCCACCATTCTGATGGGCACTCAATAAACTTGAGCAAACAAGACTATCTGGTCGCGCCGTAGTTTGCAACGGAGAAAGAAGACCAGCCGGACCGGAGCTAAAACTGAAATGAATCCTTAAATCATGCACTAAGAAACGCAATTTGAACCATAAATTCATAACGCAACCTGGGAACAGGCATTAACGTAGATAGAACGAGGTAATATTATACCATACTTTTTAAATGACCATATGCCATATTCATATGACATGTTATTATACCCATATATGACTAAATATTGAGAATAAGTACTTTATGTGCATATGTTTACCACGAAACCACTTAAAATTTAAAAGTTATCATCTCTTTGAATAGATTTTTAATATTCTATTTCATTTAAACTATCGGTCCATAATATTACACGATATCCCCCCAATTTGATTCTACACATCTTTTTACATTTATGCACGAATCTTTTTAGTATAAAGAAATACACTCGTCCCCTGAAACAGTATGAAGTTTCCAATTTTGAAAAAAAAAACTAAAATTACCTTAGCTTATCTAAACCGGAGGAATGACTGCTGTGTTGCATGGAAGTGCTATGAAGCTGATCTTGCAACGGTTCAATTTTCATTGTACCTACATACGACGGTGTTGCCGACATAGGTGCCAGGGTTGCATAAGCATTGAAATCAGATGATTTCCCGAAACTACAATACATCATTTAACCTTTCTGCCAATGTTAGAAAGTTAACAATCCATTCAAGATACTTATGTTTAGCGTTTTTGACCATTAACATGTGCTAAATGTTCGATGGAAAACTTTTTTCTGTAAAATAATGACATCGAAATATCTACTAACTTAATTAAGAAACCACCTCTTGCCATTTACCTTTATTAAAAATGAAAAGGTCCAAAAAAACAACAAATGTAAAAATCTAGGAAAAAAATGGATCGGAGTAAAAGCCAGAAAACAGGAACTGCAGTGATTCCAGCTGGAACCAAAAATTAAAAAAATTTTTTTTCAAAACTTACTTATCATTTGAACCAAGACTCATAGGTGCCAGTGGTGCAAGCTGTGGACTTTCCTGTGGCGCAGAACTTTGGTTTTGCTGTGGACTTATACTTTCCAAAAAGTTTTCTGGCAACTCTTCGAATGGACGGTTAACGGAGTTAAACGTAATGTTGGGATCAATCTGAAGCTGGTAGGTAGTCGGTGGAGCTGTCGATGCAGCTCGTTCCATCGTATGTCTTACTTTCTCGTCCAAACTGAAGACTCTACGGAAAACCATATTTTTGATTAATAACGTACTGGTCAATAAGTCTACTTCTCTCTCCCTCTCTCTACAATTATAGAAACGATCAAAGAGATGAAGGATTACAACACTAGGAGTGTTTGCTAGTCTCTGATAGTGGTTAACTTCCGTAGAGTTTAACTTTCGCAAGGTTAAAGATGATTTTTTCTTACAAGTAAACTTGTGAATCTCATAACCCTAAATACTCGCGAAAAACTCTCAAAAATTCCAAGTCCACTACATCTGACATTCACCTATCCGCAGTGTAAGGTGTGAAAGTGTTTATACGTTGTTGGATGAGATTTATGTGACAATTTCTAACAGGAATTACATATGAAAATACGCACTGACCTGTTAGCATTATTATTACTATTAATGGATGAAAGTTGTTGAGAGCAAGAAGTCTCCGCAGGTGGTTCCATGCACACATGCGCCAACTATAAATCTATCAACAACCAAATGAGAAGCGTAATTTGCTGTCACCTCTGTTATATCGGTGCTGTATTATTTCTAGTAGCATTCAAAACCTGCAAACGATATACTCAATTGACACATCATCACCGAATGTGCAGTAAATGCTGTCTGACTGATCTAACAAGTAATTTAAAAGTTGATTTCATAAACATTTGCAAGAGTATTATTGTGAAAATATCTTAATAAAGCGGAATCACTGGCGATATAATATACCACCTCGCTCAAACAGTAAACGAGTAAACCTTTTGAATCTTATTTGCACTCTTAAACATAACATGATTGCTAATCACATTACGAAGATAAGCGACACCCTCAGAACCACTCAACAACAACTCGAAATAAACACTAGAAATGTAACACTACAAACGGAATAATGCTGCTATGTATACTGAGTGAAAAATTAACGTCCCTTATCAAACGACGTAAAATCTATTCTCAGATGCAGCGTTTTATCACTGACAACATTGGAGATAGTAGCACTTTATCATCACCACATTAACATGATAAGGTGAGAGTCGTCGAACTTCACCAAAGAGATAACGATTTATTACTACACTAGGATAATAACTGCTTATCACTACAGTTGAATGATAAAGTTGGTGAATTTAGCAGACAATAACTTAACAGGAAGCAAGTGGATCAATTTAAACACCACTTACAGCTTATCAAGGATCATTTAATGCCAAATTGTATGTTTTTGGAAAACATGAACATAACACAAACATTCCTAACATCAAACCTAAACTATGTAGTTATGATGGCCCCTGTCATGTACACAGTCCCTCGAGCATGTTTCATACCATCAGACTTTCAGGCCATTCTTTTTCACGTGTGCATGAAAGATTCACTCAGATCTTGACGGCCGAGAAATCAACATCCCAACCGATCACCTCTTTAACAACAGCCTAACAAAATAACGAAAATGCTTCCCAAATGCACTGAATGCACCCTGACCCCACCCTGGCAACGTCACGCAGTGCAGCTTGCAAATGCACTTAGTGCACTCTAACAACCTTGTGCTCTCCCTTACTGCAGCCACTCTCAACTGTTGCAAACTCTGAACAGTCTCTTTGCAAGGAAGACATGTACAGCACAGTGCTGAATGTTTGCCAGGACAATTAAGCGACCGCACGGAAGACGAAATCGCTATAGGCATCAAACGGTAACTGCGGTAGCGTGTTCCGTGTGGGTGCAAAGATAGGGCGGCAATGTCGTCTAGACTTAAGTTACTTTCTAGTTAGTAGGGAGGTCTGTCCAATTTGGTAAGAAGGCAATCATCTGAGAACATATAGACTATCTTACTTCACTTAATGCCTATAAAATATGCAGATTTAATTGCCATTATTGCAAAATACGATTGTCTTCACCAGAAATTGAAACTGCGTTAAGCTTTGCGCTGTTGTTCAGGCGCAATCATGACATAACGGACTAATAGACCCGTTTCGCCCAACTTCTCAGGATCTCTAGTAAAATTTATCCAACTCATGTAATCAACAACCGTTCCAAACAAAGATCCATGAGTGACAAAAAGTTTTCATTTCGTGCCGGCAGAGTGACAAAGGCGTGCGTAGTCAAAATGACGGCACACTTTCAACAGCGGTTATCAATGCAACTTCGAGTCCTTACTCCATATTGTCATTGAGTTTTACCGTTTGGCTACGCTTCCCGCAATTTAAACCCCTTCCTGTGTGTCAGTGGCATTGCGTAATTCGTTTACTTGAATTTGTTCTTTGATATATAAAAGTTAGCTTATCTACTGTTGTTTTTTTTTAGCTCGCGGAAGATTTTAAGTTTGCATTGAATAAGCAGGGATTGAATTCCGAACTTGTCTTTTATATATTGACTTCAGAAGCTTTTACCATTCTTTAAGTTGAACCTTTGATTTCTTTTTCCTTTTTCCAAACCACTTCTGTATATGTACAGTGACGCTGTTCGGGAATTTTGTAATGTGGAATATATAACCGACAACTAGTAAGCCTGTCGAGCGAGTGATGATGAGCAAAGCAAATGTTATCGTCTGTGTAAAAGATATATTGAAAACTCTCAGTGATATAACAGTCCACTTTCCACGACTGTGCCTTGTATAAGATTTGAAGTATTACTTGATTTGAAGTGTTACTTGTTAACCTCAGTCATTTGATGAAGCTTTTATAGCTAATGTTTTAACTCTTTGTGAGTTGTTTGAGATGTGGCTTACAATTTGTAGGTTAAAATTTCTTCTGAAGAGATGTCATCAGTAGCATCTCTCCAAGAATATGATTTATCAACTAATCTAGCTGAACTGCCGATCGGTTTGCATTGGCGTCTTGCCAGTTCTTTGAATTTTCAAACTGTGTGGATGAAAGTGATCGGCGATTCGACGAGCAGTCCATTCAGTTTAAGGTAAATGTTTGATTTGATTTATGCCGTTATTATTTGCAAACTTGCTGTGTTGCTGACCTAATCAAATTATGAAGATTAGTTGATGCATGCATATCTATTTTGCATTCCTTTGAAGATTGCTTGTCCATTTTGCTTAAAAAAGCAGAAGACAAAAAGAAAAAGAAAGTCAACATATATCAGGAATATATTTGTGCAAATATTGATGAGAAATCGTGGGGAAACCATCTCTTCTTTTTGTGTCTCATTTAACACGCCAGGATTTTCTGAAAATTTGAGAGTGGCTTTATATTCCATTTAACTGAAATAAACCTTAGCAGTGTTCAAACTACGAGCCTCATGCAAGAATAAAACGGGTTTCTCATGATAAACAGAGTTGAGATATTCGTGAAATATCAAAAACGATATTATGAGTTGGAAGTAAAAGAATTTTAGGATATAGCAGTTTTCTGTTTATTTATTTTTGGTTGCTGGCACTACTGAGTAACTGATATCTTAGATCATAATATATCGTTACGAAAGCGAAATTGATTTTCTGAGGATTATAAGTAGGCTTCATCACATCATGCAGGCACTCTTACTATCATATCCTGAATTTCTCTCAGGGAAGTTTACTTTTGAAAGAAACGATTTATAAAGGCGAAACCTAGATTAAAAGTGAATTAAGACATCAGAGAGAAGAAAAGTGGAATTGGTAAGCACGATCAGGAAGCATAATCCCTTTGTATCTGGATGGCAATGAAAATATCGAGTTTGGAAAAAACATTAGATATTTAAGGGAGAGATAAATGAGGCCCTTTTCGTTCAGTTGTAAAGGAAAAAGGGATATATTGATCATGGCTTAAAGGAAAAAAGACAGCTGGTCTGTTTCTTTTTTCTGGGAAAAAAAAAATTGTAGTTGGGAATGTTCGACCAAATCAACTGCAGTTTTAATTTCATCGTGATGGAAGTGTTTGATTTTCACTGTAGGTTGAATGGTAATGCGGTTCTTCATATGTAAGACTGTTAGGTGGGTAGGACGGAGCGATCATGCTTTCCGTAAATGAAATAATTAACTATATTATTTAGCAAGATGAATTTGAGTAATTTCGGATGGGAAGTCAGTAAGAAAATTGCGAAAATCTTTATAATGGGACTTTCTTTTTTTAGTGTTTCCGAATATGACCGTATTTTACGATCTGAAAATCAAGGCTCATCTCTTTTATACTTGTGGGGCAATCGTGGACAGAATGTAAGACATTTGCTGCTGAGACTTCAATCATTTTCGAAAATGCACGGGACATCTTTAGATGGACCCCAATTAGCACTGAGACGCAAATTCGGTAAGTTTAGATTATAGTAACAACAAAAACTTAGATTATAGTACTTTGTATGTTTTGTCGATACAAAATAATGGAAGTTCTTCAGTTATCTACCACAGTATATAATGTAGAATGATATTAGAAATATTTATACAACTCAAATATTTAGATTTTTTAAAGTGTTACTTGTTTCCAGTGCCAGTAAAATGGTCAGCTGATGAGCAGATTACGGTTAAAGTAATAGGTGCTGATAATTGTATGTTGCAACTTTTTTGCCATGCTCGTGGTTTTCCTTGGCCTCATTTTCAATGGATGGAAAATGATAAGGATATAGATTGTTCAAACGGAAAAGCACTAATCATTTCTAGGTTTCTTGTTGCTTTTGTATCTTGTCGAAATACTGCAGGAATCTTTACCTTTAAAATTTGAAAATGATATTCAAAACAAAAGCAGAATAATAGTGGCTTCAAAAGAAACATAGATGCAAAGATAGGATGAGAGAAAGCAAGATTTCTAATTATGAGTTGACACGTTCAGATGCAAATGTCGAAAAGGACTGATGTATAGGTGTAGAATATGGAATGAGATTGAGGAAGGTTTTGAATATTCGACATTTTATCGGAGACCGGGAAAATCATTTCACTCAAAATTAATAACGAAGCCAGTGGACTTATCATTATTCATAACTGCCAATGTAACAGGTATCAGTTCAGTATAAATGCGGCAAAATGATTTTTTCTTTAAAGTAATTTTCACACATCATCCAAATCTTGCACTTCATATTTGAATCTCTTTTATTCTCTAGTAGTTTTAGTTCTGAATTTGACGATCACTGGGTGCATTCATGAATGATTTTACATGGCTTTTCTCTTGCAGTAGACTCTTGCAAACGGTGTAGCGCGTATAAGAATTTGAATTTATCGACCGATTTCTTCAGAACTGTGCAAAATGAAGGCAATATAGGTCTTTTTTCTCAAATCTTTACTGTTTTTTCTTCTAAATTCAATTGATTTGCTCAAACTCGACATTTATTTATTGAAAATTTCATTAAATTTTATTTACATGAAGTATTCCTTGTTCATTAGTTACTATTTTTAGGTGGATGGAACGCAGAATTGATTGCTACGGATAAGGTTGCATTAATTATAGGCAACTGCAACTACATCAATCTTCCAAGTTTAGTTACGCCTCACTGTGACGCTGAAATGTTTGCAGAATCCTTGCAAAATCTTGGGTAAGTGCTTTATCAGCACTTGTTTTTGTCAATGGTTCGAAAATTATAGATGATTAGGATTTGGTATTGAAATTTTCAGGTCTTATTTTTAAGCAAAAAAGAAGAAACAAATTATTGTTAAATGTTCCTCTTGGATCTTAAGTTGATTCCATTTACATGGAAATGATTTACAGTTTCAAAACTGTTGCGCTTGGAGATTTAAATCTTGCCGAAATGCACTTCTTTATCAAAGAGTATCGCAAACTTCTTGGTGACGGGGTGTATGGTGAGGTTTTTTTTTTCTTTATTTTCTCAGATTGTATTATATCTCTGCTCATAATTTGTGACGTCTAATTTCTTTAGCTGTGTTTTACTTCGTTGGTCATGGTTTTGAGAAAAATGGAAAAAATTATTTATTGGCCGTAGATGCACCAAGTGTTGACTGCAAAATGACTGAATGTATTTCTGTTGAGTGGGTTCTGTCTGTTTTCGAAGATTCACATCCAGCTTTAAATCTAATACTCCTCGATGTATGTCGGAAAAATGTGAAGTATGTGCATAGCTTATGCTTATCCAAAATTGTCATAAATGCATTATATTATTTGTAAGTTAAATACTGTGTGAATGATCCGCGAATATTCGTTTAATGGAGAGAAATAAAAAATTAGATTTGTCATGGCGAACAAAGTTTTCAGTTAAATAAATTTTAGAGGCTATTTAAACATGGATTAAAGGAGAAGAGAAAACTTTCCAGTTCTTTAGATGCGTTGGATGTCTAGATGATGCAGATAACGAGCAAATACCAAAGATAGCGCGCAATACTGTCTGTGGATATGCAACGTAATTTTTACGTTTGGAAAAATATTTTTCTGAAAAGGACTTTAAGAAAGAAATGTTTTAATTTTGCCAATAACTTTCAGTAGCAGCGGAGTTAGTGCTTTTGAAGTACATGGAGAAAGGAATGGTGTCTTCATGAAGCATTTATTACAACATATAGCTGATGAAGCAACAGTTCTTGAAATGCTAACGAAGACATTCCAAGGTAATTTCCATTAAATAGGAAATGCATTCCATCAAAACGAAGTTTATTTAACCGTTTTAATGGATTTTTTCTTATTCCATTCCATATCATTGATGTAATAAGAAACCAGCTAGTTTGGCCTTGGCAGTAATACAAAGGATTAAAACATGTCATAAAATTTATTATTATTTAGTATTCTCTGCTCAGTTGTATTAATTCATTACTGACTGGTAGTTCTAAATAATTTTTATCAAAATAAACAAGTATACTGATCAAAAATTTAGTGCACTAGTGTATCTATCACTCTAAGACTATTGATTTGACCTTAAGAAATGACCGATTGACACCTTAAGAAAATAGCCTATTATTTCTTCCGTTACATTTTTCCAATAGAGGTTTTAATTCGTAGTTTTTTTTTTTTTTTTTTTTTTTCTTCAGAAATCTCAAATGATACTAGGATTTGTGATGTACAGATTCCGGAACTTAAGTCAAATTTGGTTTTACCACGTGGACTACGAGATCCGCTTATTTGTTATGGTCATACAGCATCTTTCAATTGCCATACTCTTTACTGGCGCTATATGCACGGTGATAGATTTATGATTATGTTTTTTTTTTTTTTTTTTTTTTTTTTTTTTTTTTTTTTTTTTTGCGATGCAGTACTGTTTGCATCTTTCGGAACTTTGTGCCCTGAGTTTCCTTTCTTTCATTTTCTGAAAGAAAACGACGTAAAATAGAAAACAAGATATCCCATATTATTTCCACTTAATATTTCTTCGTTCATTAATAAATATTTTTTGCAGTTGCTGTGTAAAAGTCACATAATTATTTAAAGAGTAGATTTTAAAAAATTGGTCATTTAAGCTGATTATTTATTACAGAGTTGCCGAGTCCGATTAACGTACAGTTTACGGATCAAAACATGTTTGTTATCATTTGGTATGACTATGTTGGGCATTTTACAAACAAAGTGTATATATTTACTAGTGTTAATGATCTATCTGATAAAAACAGTGCGGGAGGTTTGAAGCCATTGCCTACCAAATTTTCGCATGTTGCTCATTTACATTTTCCCAAGGTTTGTTTTTAACATTTTAAGCATGAAATAGGATTAAAAACTCAAGTGATTTTTGAACTTTTACAAATATTTCTCACTTTTACTTCTGTTGAAGAATTATTGCAAAAGCTCAGGAATGACTGAAGTTTTTTTATGATTTGAATTTGAAATGATAATTAAGATTTCTAAAGAAATAGTTGCTGCAATTGAAGTCTTGTTGCATTATCGCCTATTGGACTTTGATTTCTTGGATTTTGTTTTGTCTTTCACATAATCTATTGATGCAAGGAATTTCAGCATGTCGATGTGTCGGCAGAGAGGATAATAGAAGATGGTAATGATGGTGTTTCAATATCTGTAATGCTATCAAATTTGCAGCGTTTAAAAGTAGGTGTTCATATATTATTATTATTTATTCAAGTATGATTAATAGAAAATTTAATAAAAATTGGTTTTACAGTGCCTTTAGAATATGTTATGGAAATAGTGAAAAAAGTGAGTGTAATGTTCAGAATACTTACTAGTGGATTTAGTCTATGTTATTTGGAAGTATAACTAATAAAAATTTTAATGCTGTACTTTTGATGATCTTCATGGTTGATGAAATTGATGAAGGAGTGATAAAACGCACTTGCTCGTAAATTGTCAAGATCCAGTAGCTTTAAAAGAAGTTATAAGGCTTTATTTTTCCTGGATTTTCAAAATATTTGTAGGGAACCGTATTGTTCTCGGTAGATCTTGCTAGTCGGAAAGATGACGTTGTTATAGCATCGAAAAGTAATTTGTCACTGGGTGATGTGTTGGTTACAAGGATTTATAGAGTAGAATGATTGAATTGTTTTTGTTACGAAACTAATAAAAATTTGGTTGTGTTTTATGTAATGATGTTACTGTCCGGAATTTTGTCTTCATTTTTATCTTGTTAAGCGACATTTTGTATAATCAAAAATTAAATATACTTGGTCTGTAAATGTAGAGTCAAAAATTTTACAGTGACCACTAGCGAAAATTTTATGCGACAGTGAAATAAAATGTCAGCTTACAGGAATCGAGCTATCGTACAGTTCAAGTAGGATCTTTCGTACAGCTCAAGTACTTTACGCTGTTAATAGAAGCTTAGCAAATAAAGGCAGGAGTACTGGGTTTATCTTCTCCAAATCATTCGTTTATGATTTGATGCTGTTGTCGTCGAAAGATTATAATCTCACATTCTGTCATTTCAAACATAGTCAAGGAAAGATTCTTCGCTCTCTTCATTTCTTTTATCCTGCTATAGTCTGCTAACTTTCTGCACTGATTGGTCATTATCTCCACACAATATAGAAATAGCTTGGAGTAAAATTCTTCAACGAAATGACGACAGGACAAAAGGAACTATTGAATCCGCTCAGACGAAATACCGAATTTTGAAATCTGAGGAGAAATTGACTAAAACAAACGACCTTATGATTCAGTGAAACAGAAAAATATTGAAACTGGAAACGCAGTGCATAACAGGATTTTAAAAAAAGCTGAAAGATGCCAATGCCAAAATATTTGTACAAGATAAAAGCTAATTTGTAGAGCAAGTTGGTCTCCGATGAAGATGAGAAGGATGATAATATTGATGACCATGATAGCAGTAATGATTGCTTGGTAACAATTGTAATGAATTTTTTTATAAATGTGATATAAAAGAAAATCCTGGTATTGAAACGCATTTAATATCCATAAAAACAATTACCGAAATGATTTTTCCCATTCCACCTTTGATCCTCGTGAAGTATAAGGAAAATAAGGTATGTTACGCATTTGACTCCATTAAAATATTACAAATGATAAGAAAGGAAATACAAACTATAAGGCCAAAAAATCTTGATGAAAATTGCAATGATTTCTTGACTTTGAGAATGGTTCCATGAAGAGTGAATTAAGAAAGTACTAGCTGAATGCGTAGTTAACAGGTAGTTAATTAAATTTCGATGTGAATTGTCATGTAAATGATGCAAAAAGAAGTTTGGAGAATCATTTTCATATAAACAAGGTAGTAGCAAATGCAGTGCAATTATTCCGAAAGCCGTTAAGTTACATTTGCTACTTCATTTTTTGCATAACTTCAAATAATAAATGAAAGAATTTTGGGCGAAGCAAATTTTGAATTGAAGTAAACATTTTCGCAATTAAGTCACATTCTTGAGTATGAAAATTCATAAATTTTTATAAAAAAGATAAGTTAAATCAACATTTGTATTATTTAGAAGACTCAACGGTTGTTTGCTTCGGTGTTGCACGAGATTTTAATATACCTAGAAGAAAATGTCTTCACATTGGGATTCATCCAGTCCTTTTAGAGCTTCTACTCAATTTTCTGTAATTGATTACTATCCAATTTTCGGATAATTTTTTAAAAAATATATGAAGTTAAGCTAGAAACACGTTGTAATTATTTGCCTTTTTGATTATGCAGCTGTTATCGTAATGATGTAGATGGAAAGGATTTGTAGCAGCAGAAACTGCCAGTAAGTAGAGTGTCACCAAACCAATTTTGTAGTTTGAATTTACTTAATATATTCTCAAATAAATCACAAAAGTCAGAGTAATAACGGTTCTCGTGGTGAATTGCCTGATGATCTGGAAACAGCACGAGAGATCATCGATAGTTTAACACGACAATTAAAGGTGCTTCACATTTTTGCATTGTTATACTAGTGCATCTATCTTCTAATCAGAACAATGAGTTCCTCATGAAAGATTATTTTCTGAAGTTTCCTCATTTTCTTTGTTAGAATGCTGAAAAAACAAGTTGCAGATTCATGACGATGTAACTTCGAATTTGCTGCTTCTTCAGAAAAGAATCCAGCACACTCACCGAAGGACACAAGATGCCATGCGCATGGTTCAGTTCAACTTTACTTAATTTCTCCATTTCTCAAATGCATAGAGTGTCTGAGCGATAAGAAATACAGAATCAGGAAATTATTCTTGTGATTGGTGTCATCTGACTTTCAAAACACACAGCACGTATTAGCTCTCGACTATCTGTGATCGATTTATGCAATTTGTACTAAATATTTGATATAATCATGATATTCAGTAATTGATGTAATCGAGAGTGATCATGCGATGAGATGAGATAATAATGTAATAGGACGAGTTATTCAACTGAATTTATACGATCAGATGATTCCTGTGGTCTAGAAATTAAAAAAAAAATTTTTTTCATCACTAGATGCATTCACTGCCTTTGAAGCTTGAAGATCGTCTAGACAATATTGAAGCAACATGGACCAAAGAATTAGAAGATCAACACAAACGTTGGCTCGACAAATACAATCGGTTGATGAGAGAAGCAGAAAACACTCGTCTTTTGTACATTTATTAGTTAAAAGCAAAAGTCAAATTCCATGAATTTAATTTTAAAATGACAATTTGCTGAGAATTTCTCATATATATATATATATATATATGTACATGACATCCTAATTTTTTTTTTAAAGATATGAAAAATTCTGAAAAATTTCGAAGATTTCATAGCTTATTTTTATTATTTCATAGGCACGTGTTCTTAAGATTTCTCTATCAGATTATTGGGAAGGATAATAGATTTATCGATTTAAATATTGCATAATGATCAAACTATTTAATTATATTGTTTCTTATCAAAATGTAGCATAGAAAAGATGCAAATAAAAATGTTTCCTTGCCCATTCGTACTTTTCTATTTTGAAAATTTCAGAAATAAAGGAACATCTAAAGCTTCAGCAAAACATACTAATAAGACTGTGAAATTTTCAAAACAACAGCTTGAAAATCTCAATCGTCGTGCTATGATAATCGATGAAAGAATCAACGAACTAGAAAATGTTGCAAGTTGTACCAAAAACTTTGACGGAAAGCTTCATCTCGACAAGCAGAAGATCAGAGATATCGATGCTCGAGTAAATTTAACCTTACAACGTTAATCAAAATATTTGGTGCTTCAGACCATTTTACTTTTGACCGTGCATTTGTGTCCTTACGCGTGGACTAGTTAGGAATTATGTGTTCATTTCAACAACATATCAAATGATTACTGATTTCTTTTTTAAATTAAAATTTTCTTATTTACTATATTTTATATTATATTATATTAGTTGAAAACATTAACAAAGAAAGAGCAAAAGTTGAATGATGAGCTCACCAAGCAGATGAATATTCATTTTGGCAGCAAGCCTTTCGCCCAAATGACAAATGAACAATCCGAGAAAAGCTTTTATGGCGTTTGTGAAGTAATTGATGGCTACCGAAAAGTACTGCTTTTAAAAGTATTATTCATAAAAGAGAAAAGTGTTGGAGTAAAATAAGTTAGGCATACATGTGAATTTTGTCAATTCTTGTTCTTTTTTGTTCCGTTTCTACTGTTAAACTGTAGACGATTGAAAATTTGGACAAAGCATTACGAGCAATGGAGCAAATTAAGAATCTATCAGTAGCGAAAAGCAAAGTTAATAGCACAATTCAAAGTACACCATCGGTAGATGAAATTGATGAAATTACAGTTCTCATGAGACGTTTCCTTGCCAAATTGCGAGTTCAGGTTTGATTTTTTTTTTAAGGAACATCTTTTGATTTATATGAAATTCACACTCGATTAAGTAATTTTTAATTCTTTTCCTCCCTAAAGTTTATATGTGTACATTCACTCATGGAATGAAATAGAATTTAAAAATTTCTAGATGCTGGGAAATAAATGATTTCAGCTAGCATCAGTTCATTTATATGGCAAACCAGCTTTGAGTCCTAAGTTGGATACCGGTAAGGTAAGTTTACTTTTAAAGGTTAAGTACGTCAATATGCCTGAAAATATTCAAATATTTGTGTACTGATGTGTTTCTTTACAACTCACTGAAGCATATAATCTTTGCTTAAGTTAATTGATTGATGCTTAAATATCAATTGATTAAGTTGAACAAATGTATATGCAATCGTAGAATGGTGAGGGTGTATAGTGAAATATTAAGTATACGGCAGTAATATGTGCACAGCTTAGTGAAGATTTGTTTTGAATGAAATATAAGGATCAATTCAAAACAGAGATCTTTCATGGAAAAGCTTTTTGAACATGTCTTTTTCATTTTTCGAGAGATCCTTATCAATCTGATATTATTCATTATTCATCTGGTTTTAAGTCAGGAAACTTGATAGAGACAACGACTGGTTTTGAATCATCAAATCCTGATACCACTTCTGATTTTGGTACAATTTCGCTCAGTACTTCACAACCTCTGTCGATTTTAAGAATTTTTACAGTGCAAATTATGAATTGAAGCATTGCTGAAACTCTTTTAATTGAAACTGTCCTTTTTAACTGAAATTAATTATTGGAATCATCAAAATTGCTAACAGGACCGTCAACTTCGTCTGCACATTCGCAATTTATGATCTTGAAATCAGAATTTGGAAGTGAAGGAACGATTACAGCTAAAGGAAAATCTGAGAAAACCTCAAATAATAAAACAAAATGAAAAATCATGCCATCTTTCAGTTTTTCTTAACTTTAATTCTTCCTGTACCTTATCCCATTGATAAAAACATTACATTTTTTCATTTCATCTCCGTTTAATTGACTTCCAACTTCATTTTGATCAATGCTGTCGCTTAACTAAAGAAGACATGGCCATGTATTAGCAGATTAGCCATCCTTATCTTGTCGAAGTCTAAAACTGAGCAAATAATTGTATTGGACGTGTCATATCATAGTATCAATACAAAAACGATAATAATATGAAAGGGAATAACAAAAACTGGAAATGGTAGCATGAAAATATTCGATTGATTATTACACGATAAAATGAAGAAGAAAAAGACAGATGGTTAAAAGACTATAATCCATGCAAAGGAACTGAGAAATGATCCAACTGATATTACATTACCACTATCTTATGGAACTATTTCTATTTAATATCAAATTTAGTCGTTGAATATTTGACGTATTCTAATCTGAATGAACTAGGAGACATCATCCTATCAAATTTCAAAAGAATCAATGCTAACTCAAAAATGTTCCAGTAACTTGCGATTCTTCATCCCTTCTTGCTGGCTCACCCGTGCTGATAATAAGGAATCAGATAGTACAGATAATATGGAATAAAACAATAATTTAATGTTTGGAATGAATGCAAATGAAAGTAGATTGATCTAAACTGATAGCGGACAGACGAAAACAATAAATTTTGACCTAATCTTCAAAGTTCAGAAATTATGGAAATTGTGTTAATAAAAAACTAATGAATGATGGAACTTGTTTCATTTGCTTCATTTAAAAATCATCTCTTCAGCTCTAATAGAACTAATTTTTTTTTTTTGTGTGTGAAATAATGTTATAGGAAGACAAATGCACTGATGAGAATGAGATGTTAATAAATAGACTTTGTAGTTTCTGTAAGTTATACGAAACACCGGACGCATTCCAGTAAAACCGGTTCATCGCCATTCACTTCTATTGGTGTCTCCTGAGGACACTCTTGTTGGTCTTTCATCGATGTTAATGAACACTGAAAATGTTCCGCTATAATTGACAAAAGCGGGTTGTTACATAATTTCATGAATCATAAAAATTGAAGGTCCTTAACAAGTAAATTCATACAAACTCAATTAATGATTTTTAATTTGAAGAGCAAATTCCAAAGTGCTTACGAGATTGGATCTATGGTCATACTGAGCAACAGTGCAGTTATGTTTCCAGCATATCTCACCACATTGTCCAATGGAAAGTGCTGGTTCCACTGTTACTGCCTGCCGTATCCTCGTTAATTCTGTCACCATGCTGATGGAATAATGGCATTCTGAAAGGACCAATAATAATTTTCAGCATTTCACCTTTAAGATTTACAAAACCAGCATCGAATTAATGCAGGTCTCAGGAACCCTTGGCTATTTGGTAAAAGTTAAAACTGTTTCATTATTATGAACACGAAGAGAAATAATACATACTGGTACATTTCAAGCAACTGATAACAAGTGTTGATAAGTCGGATTTATGCTGCGGAATAAATTTCTGCTCTGGTGAGCAAATAGCAGAATCAGCTGTCAACATGCATACTGCATTTGTTGACTCATCATCCTGGCTTGGCTTATATACTGCGAGAACACAGTTTGCCTTCAAATGATTCATATTTAAGAATGTAACTTTCTCTGAAGAAATTTCTCAACAGATAAGATAATGACAGTATTGTAAAGTGATATATATTTACAATCTCTACTTGGGGAAAAATTCAGTGCTGCAGTTTTCTCAACAAATAAAGCAATAATCATATATTTTTCTAAACAACTTGCACAAATACTTAGAATTTTACAGTTTCGTAGCATTTCATCGCGCATGCGGCCGGTGATTCTATCATAATCTCACTAGTGACGTTTAGCTGTGAGAGGTCTTCCATTTCTGATATTTCGAATTCAACTCGACCAAGACATCTAGCAGGTGTTCCTACAATAACTATTTCTGTTATTTTTTTTTCTCGGAGCCTCGAAATTATTTCTAACAGTTTAAACTCAGTGTTGTTGTGGGTGATGAACATATCCAATTTTTCTTTATTATGCCTACACTATTTGCGAAAAACACACTTAAAGACAAATCTTCGATTATTTTTTGATAAAACCACTGACTAAACCATCATGCAAAACTTATCACAATTTTTTATAAAAAAACAAAACTTCTAAGAAAAAAAAAAAAACTTCTAGGAAAGAAAAAGCCATAATCTTTAGGCTCTCATAAAATTTAAAATGCAAAAATGCATTGAAACTTTATCGAAGACTTCTCAAAAGCATAAATATTTATCAGCAAGTAATATCTAAGACTTTGTATGTGAATTTACCATCAACAAGTCTTGTTTTAGCGCTATTGTGAAGAGAATTTCCAATGAAATCTTCCTGGAATTGATTAATTGGAACATCGGTCGTCATTATTTGCTCATCTGCATCCTTTGTTAAGTTCACATCATCAACGATAAATGCACCTTCAAGAATATACAACATTTTCAATTTGTTTTGAACATTTTGGATTTAAACTGCTCGATTTGAAACTACAAAAGAAAATTTAATCACTATAATAATTTCTTATTTCTTCACATCCAATAGATGACTAAGAAAGAATCAGTCGCTAGAATCAGCGGGTTACGTTTCTATATCAATGGTTTTCAAGGGTCTAACAAGCAATACGCTATAAAAATTGCTTTCGACTAATTTTCAATTAAAAATTAGCGAATATATTCGCTAGCTCTATTGCTCTATTTATAAGCCTTAATTTCAGATTTGAAGTAAAATTTTCAAATTTTCGATTAAAAATTGTTTCTTCTAATAAATCGAAATACCATTTTCTTTTCCGTTGCGTCCAATCACTTCTTCGATTTTCGAATTTTGACTCAAAACACTGATCAAATCTGAAACCGCTTGTACGGGCGGTTCTGTTGTCATATGTTCACCTAGAGTTGGCTTACGATTATGTTATATCGCGATTACTTACAAGTATCAAAAGAACAAAAAATTAAAAATTTGTACGACTGCATGAGACAATATAGTATGAATAAGATTTAGCTTCTCTTGCCTTACAATTAATACTAACCTTGGATTACCAACTTATTGTTATTAGATGAATCCTTGGCTACTTCAGCTATAATTTCATCTTCTCCTTCCACTTTCTTAATCGCTTCTTCCTGAATCGCTGCATCCGCCACCGCTGGCTTACTACCAGTTACCAAAATATCTTTTGACTGAGCAACATTTTTGATGACAGCATTCGCATTCGCTTGTACAAATGGCTGCTCCGTAATTGAATTTGAAACCGATTTAGAGAACAAATCTTCATCATCATTATTTCCTTCCTTAGATATCTTTTCCAGAATTCTGAATGTTACTTCGGTATTTCTTTCGTCACTCGTAGAAGTGCTTGTTTCTTCTGCAATAAATGTTGCTTTGCTAATTGTTTCAGCAGTTGTTGCATTAGTTATATCTGATAACGCAGCATCTGCTTCAATATTTGATTCCATTAATGCAGTTTCTTCAACTATGGATGAATTAATATCTGAGTGAAACGTTCCTTTAAAATTAGCTGAAGTTGCTTCAATGTGTGATTCTATGATTGCATTCTTAGATGAAATAGTTGATACAATTTCATGAGTTTCTGTACTCCACTCTTCCGGTATTCCAATTGTTTCTTTTACATCAGTTTCTAAGACATTACGTGAAATGTTTGCAACAATGCTGGCTACAGCTCCAACGATATCATCCGTCACTTCGCTATGAAGTATTGGAATAACAGTGATCTCTGCTGAAACCGTTGTCGGTTCAACTTCCTCTTGAAATTCTACAGTAGTTCCTTCCTTTTGATTTTTCCATTCTCCAGACTTAATCATGCTTGTTTGAGGAATGGTAGCTGAACCCTTAGCAATAGTAGAAACAACACTGCTTCCAGAAATTTCTTCAGTAATGTTTAACAATTCCGAACTATCAGTGGGAACATTTAACGGTGTTTGTAAAGTCAACGAAATTAGAAGATCAGGTTGAACTGTAGTATCTAATTCATTATTATCGCTTGTTTCTCCAAATGTTTCCATGATGTCAGTTGCAGTTGAAGCTATTTCCGCTTCTAAATGTTTTGTCGATAACTTCACTGACGATTGTAAAATCGATGATCTTGAAGCCTTTTCTTCCACAGTTGCAACAATAGGAGAGGTATCGAACTCTCCTTCAGATTCTTTACTTTTAACTTCCTGTTCTTTACTTTCTGCTTCGAATAAACTTCCATTTCCAAAAGATGGTGGCGTAACAAACGGTATTTTCTCATCCCCTTTTATAGTACTTTCCAGCCCTGCTGATGGTTCGGGTACCATACCAACTATTTTATCATTTGTTTCATCTGAATCAATTACAAGTTCTGATTTCACTTTTTTTGCTGATTCTAATCCTACATCTGGAGTTACACTCGTCAAAAAGTTCTCTTCAACTTTTGTAAATTTGGAGGTTGAAAAACTCTCGTCAGTTGCTGAATTCTCCTTTTCCTTTGATTTCTTGGTAATTACTGAAATAAGTTATTAAAACGAACATGAATTGACTTTGAATTGAACAATTTTCAAAATTTGAGCAGAATTTTAAGTTAGTAAATCAACCTGGCAAATTAGTTTCATCTTGAGCCAGTAAGCCCAAAGTAGTTTCGGTGAACTGCTTCTCTGAAACAAATTTCAATTTTAGTTAAACGTTGATAGTAAATACAGTACGAAAAGAATTGCTGAAGGAAAAACAATACAAAGAAGTAAGAAATAACTTACTGCAACTAATACAGTGAATCCACAATGTTTCAATACCCTCTACTGAATGCTGTTGTTGCTCATTTTCATCACATTGATGGTGATCTCCAAATGTTAACAAACACTCCCCGTTTACCGAATTAAATTTTGCACCTGTACATCCATCCTGAAATTTACTCTCATTTTACGCATCAAAAATTTTCCTAAATTCTTAATTTCTGATCTCAACATTTTATTCAATTTTAAAAAGAGAAATATGAAAAATTTTTTTTGTGGTGAAAATCTTTATACTATATAAAAAAAGATGAATGTCGAAATTTGTTGCACATAGTACTATAAAATTAATTACAAACCATATAGCAACGTCTAGCACACTCGTTTACTGTAGATGTTGTGTCTGTTGGAATAAATTCGGCTTTTAAATGCATATCGATAGGTCTAACTTGGAATAAAACAATGCAATCTGAAATGAAGTATGCAAATCGATTATTGTTTGAAATGACGAATATCTAGAAATCGAGAATCGAAACAATGCCAACAGATGATACACGACTTTGGACATTTTTTATCGGTGCGTGGAAAGAGAAAGCTATAACGGACGACTTTAATGTGCGTGAAAAAATCTTGAGAAACATTTATGAAATAATTATGAAAACAAACATTTATGAAAAAAAATCTTAAATGGCTATGAAAAAAAAAAAAAAAAAAAATGAAAAAAAAAAAAAAAAAAAAAAAACTTACCTTGATCAGAAAAGGTCTTTTGAAGCGGTGTAGTGGTAATTGATATTTTTTCTTTACTTACTGATTCTTCAACTTCAGCGCTTGAAGATGTCTTGGTGATATCAGTGTTTACCTCCTCTCCTGGTATTTCCGCTTTCTTTTCCAAAGTACTCGTAATTGTTTTTGAGACTTTTGCTGCTTCTGTTGAAATTTCTACTACTGCTGTTGCTGCTGATGATGATAATGGTGACAGTGATGATGATAAAGTTTCAGGAAATACTCCTTCTATTGCATGAATTGTACTCTTTTCAGCTTCTAGCGCTGCTCCCAATTTTTTCTCTGGAGTTTGGTGCACTTTGGTTGATTTTACTTTCTGTGCTTCTGTAGAAAGCAATTTCTCCTATTATTCACTGCATTATTCATAATGACAACTTTCTTCCAGTTAAAAATTCGGCATTTTTACAGTTATGGTTTAACTGTTTTGTATAATTTTTATAGTTAAAAATATTGCAATAAAAATTTGATTGTAATTATATAAAGAACAAAGACGGAAATTGAACCTTTTGCTGAATGGATCATTATGTTGATACCCTGGTCTCCTGGCTTGTGCAATTCTAAAAGTTTCAAAGTCAAATATTATAAAATTAGGACTTAATTTCAATTACGAAGTTTTGAAAACTAATACAAATCTTTTTTCGTAAAATTTAAACATGGACGTACTACATCCGGTGCAATGAATCCATATGGTTTCATTGGCTTCATAAAAGAAATGTTCCGGTCCGTTGTTACAGATTTGTTTGCCACTATAGCCTAAGACGCATTCTTTGCTCGATGGATCGTACTTGGCACCAGTGCAACCATCCTGAAATTGACAGTGTGTTCTCTATTTCTAATATGTTTTTTTAAATTATAAATATAATTGGAAATCGAACTAAACCTGGTAACATCGTCCAGCGCAAACTTCAGCAGTTCGTGCGATTGTTGATGCTTGGAAGCCAGTGGAAGATTCGGCAGGACGTTTACTATGGGAATCTACTTGGAACATTACGATGCATCCTATAACTGTTTTTTTTTTTTTTTTAATTTATAAAAAACATATATTTCTGTTGGACCAATATTAGAAATAGGACTGATTATTGCTTGAAGAGGGGCAATTCAAACGTCACTTATCATAGAAAACGGGTTTATAACCATAAGGTGAAGAAAAGAGCACACCTTGCAGATACGTATGAAATGTTTCTACGACATCTCTTGATGTTGGTAATACGTCATCTTTCTTTTCTTTAGACAGAGTAAGTGTGGACTTGTGTAAAACGGTTGATAAATTTGAAGGTACTGTTGCTTCTCCTTCTCCTTCTTCTTCACCATTTGATGATTTTGCTTTTGTGTTTCCATCAGTATGAACTGCAGTTGTACTCCATCTTGTCTCGTCCAATATTCCTGTTTCTTTCATCTCTTCTCTTGAGTTCGCTTCCGTCCAGCTTCTATCTGAACCATCAATTTCTTCGTTTGCGGAAATTAACGTTATTGTACTGCTACCAAATTGTTCCACTTTGCCTTCACTTTTCTTGATAATTCCCTCCACATCTTCTCTATCTTCATTTTCTGTACTACTTACTCCTGCAGGTTTTGTTCTATCAAGTTCCATTTTAGGTTCACTTCTAAGTGATGTTGCAGCATTACTTGCTCTTGCTTCTGTTGCTGGCTTGTGCCAAGTATGAAATTCTTCTGTTCTAGCAGAAGTAGGTTCTTCATTTTCTGCAGTGGGTTGATGGACGGATTCGAGTGCTTGTATTTCTGACCCTGTTGCATGTATTGATTTATGTCCAAAAGTAGATTGTACTCCAACTCCAATAGCAGGATTCGTGGACAGAACAGAAGCAAATATTTCCGTTCCAAATTCAGTTTTAAGGTTTGCTAAATTGCTTTTAAATGTGTTATCGCTAATCAATAAATCTATCATTGATTCACTGGTCGTTAATTCAATGTTTTCAGTATTAGTCGAAATTGCTGTTACAGATGTTTCATTCTCATTCGGCCTGTCTGTAACATTTTCAGTGGTTGTTTCTGTTTGCTCTTTTCCATCAAATATTGTAAATGTTTGGGTAGTTTCAATCGGACTAGTACCTTCTGTTTGTGTAATTTCTTCACTTTGTTTAGTATCGGAACTTGTTTTCATATTTTTATTGGTAGCAGCAGTCTCCACATCCTTTTTGATTTCCTTCGATTCCATTTCAACCGCTTTTGGTTCCACATCAGACACCAATGTAGTTTTCACCAACTCATCACTCTCCTTAGTTTGAATTACAGCTTCAAATGAATGCTTTTTCAGTGAAGCAAAAGATGTTTCCGGTTGTGGAGTAACTATTTCAAGTGATGATTTCGTTTGCGGTTTCTCGGGAACTGAAAAATAATTGTGCTTATTTGATATCTCTATAATGTCAAAAAATGAAATAAGTTTGAAAATTTTTTGAAAGGATTAATAAAAATTATTATTTGCTTCGAATCTAATAGAATAAACAATAAAAAATTTTGAAGCTTACGGCATCTAAAGCACTGTAAGTAAATAGACTTTGTTGTTTTGTAGTAGTAATCTCTCCTCAGCGTAGCGTTACACTTCTCTGCAATATCAAATCGTCTTTCGCAGGTACCTTTGTTACCAGGTGCAGTTGATGGTATAAAAACAGCTGCGGTACAGGCGTCTCGGTAACAAAGGTAGGCGCAATGGTCAGCTCTGAAATTTTTTTTGTCACATTAATTCTAAAATCCCAAAATTCACCTCAGATGCTGAAGTTAAATGCCATTTAGAATACAAGTATATTTTAAAGGGATTTTCAAAAATTCTCTATAATAAACCATTTGCTCTTATAAATCTTTTCACTATTAGACGATTTTCGCAAAGGATTTTTTACATTCAGTGAACTAACTAAATTTCCAAACGTCACCTGTCAACTTTCACACTATCTTCAGCTTTGAAATTGGCTATATTGGCTTCTAAATCGACTTCAAACATAACAATACATGCTGAAATTAGTTTTCTGGAATATAACATAACTGAAAAAGTTTCTCATGCATAACTCAAAACATTTAACAATCAAAAAAGAATAAGACGAAAAGGCGATACCCATTTTTATAAATTGAGAATTAAGCCGTGACTGTTGCTTGTCCTGCAAAGAGTTGAATGTATCAAGTGCTGAAGCTATTATGGGTTGTTGTAGGCTGCTAGACTGAGATAATTCCGTAAATTCTGATACTTTTTCAACTTTTTCATTTTTATTTTCTTCTTTCAATCGTATTGACATTTCTGAAAGATATTCTATTCTAAACAACTGACACAAATCTTGCTGGGAAAATTCATTGTCAATATGAAAAAATAGGAATCTTTTAAAGTTTATGGATTTTTGTGCAGAGTGACTAGTAACCATCTCTTTTACTTTTAATTACTCGGATGTTTCTCAGAGAAAGTTCTTCAGATAAATCTTTCGTCTGAGTCGTTATTATCATTAACAAGTTCGATTTGCTAATATCTATTACCACTTTAAGGCAGAACAACTTAAAGTGGTAATCAACAAGATACAATGTTCAATCTATTTAAATTAGTGGTATGTTGCTGTTGTCGCAACAAGTTATTATAATATAATTAAATTTATCTTAAATTAAACTTAAATTAAAACGTAATTAAACTTAAAGTATGATATACTGATTAAAAAAATAAATATTTTATGTTTCACTTGAATGCTTTTAAAATTTATGAAACTTCAAAATGAATGTTGCTTACATCAAAAAGATTATTTAAGTTTAAAAAAATTTCGAAAATTATAATGCCAGGGAAAACTGAACTTTTTTAAAAATTTCATTTTCCTGTAAAAAAAATTCTACTAAAAGAAGTATATTAAAATATTTGAGTATTTAGAATCATGTTTGAGTTAAAATACAAGAAATAGAAGTATAGCATCTTTTTTAAAGATATGCCACTGAAGTAACTTATTAGTATTTTTTAATAACGTTGAATTCTTCAATACCTAAAATTATTCTTGCTATAAATATCGATCAAGAAATACGTCTTGCAAGTTGCAAAAGAGACAAAGATTATTCGCAGAATAAATTGTCAAAGCGAATTCAAAAAAATGGAGAAAGTTATGACAAAATCGAGGCGCCGTAAGGATTAGTATTTTACAGCTTTCTTCGTACATCGTAATATTTTATACAAATATTTTGCAATAGCAATTTGTATGCTGCATGATGCATCATTGATTATTGCAGTAGTTATTTGAGATTAATCTCTTAGGCAACTCTTTAAAATAGTATTTTTATATTATTACCAAATAAAAAAATATGCAACTGAAATAATTCATTGGAGCCAATGTAAGTGTCCTCTTTAAGTTCAAGTTATTTACCAAAATTTTTACCTGTGTTCAAAAAATCTCCCGCAGATACTTTTAGCATATGACGATTGCTTCTTAATGAGGACAAACCACACACCATACATGCTATTTTTATCCAGTTAGATCCTTAATAGTAGTTTTTAAAGGAAACTTAAGAATAATTATTGATGCATTTTCATCTTAAAAAACCACAGAAAAAAATTAGAAAATTTTTGTCAAATTTGTGGTGTAAAAATTTACTCTTTCAGACTCTTTCAAGCGATAATGAGTATCAGCAAAGAGGTGGTACAAGTCACATTCTGTCAAGCAATTTCGTTTAGCAAAGTGATTTGTGTCTTTTCTCATTTCTACTATGCTTTTAAAATACATCACGAAGTCCGAAAATTGGAAATCTCAGCTATTATAATTAGAGAAATTTACGTAAAACTCGTAATTCAGAAGTAATGACAATTAAATACATTTTTCTTTTTTATATGAAAATGAAATTTTAACAAAAAAATAAACAAACAAACAAACAACCATTATATTGATTGACGTAAGAAGAAATGGACTTCGTTTCACAATTGTCACCACCTCTACTTCTGTTTTCCTTTATGAATTGGCATTTTTTTTCGGTACTTGAATAGACAGCCATCTACAAAACCTCTAATTCCTTGTTTTTTGTTTGTTTAATTTTCCTTAATTTAACAAAATTCTGCGAAAACCGATCAAATTTTGCCATAAATTAATTCATTCTTTTGGTTAGAAATATCACAGAAACATTTTGAGGTCAACAAATAGAAAACTATTCAATTTGCTAACAGTGTAATACTAACTTTTTATAGCAAAGAATTTCAAAGTTGGAACGCAAGGAAATTGATAAGAAACTTGGAATTGATTTGAGTTGAAACTTTTCATATGAAATATTCACATTTAATCTCTGCTACAACCAATCTTTTAAACTTGTTAATAATCTCTTAAGCACAAAATGAAATGAGCGAACCTTACAACAACTGTGGAAACATTTTTCAGCACATTCCTGCACTGAGTTAGTCGTACTTCTTTCTTCTAAGAACTCAAAACTTGCCAAGTTAGTTTCTTCTTCAGCAATAAACCATATATCCTCGTGACATCTCATTGCTAAACATCTTTCAACATTTCGAAAACGAAACATTTGTTTAAATTTCATAAATTTCAAGCTGAACTGCAATAAATTAACAACGATTTTCTTTTTCTGTGTCATGAACAAAACCAATTGAATATTAATTAGAAATATGATGACTTCGATGTAGTATTAAATTTCATTTTCAATTTATCTTATACATTCTTCTGACTATGCTACATGTTCTCAAATTCAAACATCTCATAAACAGCCACAGCAGAAATAATTTATGAGCAGATAGATATATAGAACGGTTAATATTCATCATAGTATTATTAAATTCAAGTCAGCTAGGGCATTTAAACATGCATAAAAGTGTCTAATTTTGTACCCTCAGACATTTGTAGATGACAGAAAGATGAATAACAGAGTAAGATTTTCATAATGTAAATTTATCTAAGTACAAATTGTGGTCTTAATAGTATGATTTGTAAGCCTAAGATATTTTCGACTGATTTTCAACATTTGTTTTAGCTAGAAGTAGATGTACAAGGTTCCAGATGTACAAGTTCAACCAATTTAGCTTTTAATGGAATTCGAGCACAGGCAGGTTGAAAGAGCATAGCAGAATTAATTTTTGAGCAAATGGATATATAATAAATATTTCACTTGCAATAATTATTTAAATGAAGAGCAATGCAGCGATATCAGCAATCTTGGTAATTTAATGTTACATTTTTAATTTCACCCAAAAGTTTTACAAATCCATAAATTAAGAGATGAAATTCTACCTGAAGGTTCACCACATATGTCGGTCGTGGGAACAGAATCAATTGTGTTTTGCATTGTTGAGAGAGATTGTAGTGACACATCATCGAACGGCTCCCCTTCAATACAAAGCATTCATTTATCATGTAACTTGGATTTTAGGCAGATAAAATTTCATTCACGTGGTTCTATTAGCTTTTGAAATTTCACTGAATTTGGATTTACTTTTTTCTAGAGTAACTAATACTTATCTCAAAGCTAGCAAAATTTTATGTATTATAAATAGAAGAGTGAAAACCTAAGAGTAAGAAGGATGGTTCATCATTATCATTTGGCTCAGAAGATGTCTGCAATTCCTCTGCAATTTATTATTTCATTATTGTTGCGATAATACAAACAGCAAATGGTAAAACAATTCTCTGAAAATGTATAAGATGATTTGGAACAGAAATTATGAACTTTGAACTTTCGTTTTTAATTGTCACATTTTATACAATCGCAATAAGTTTATCATTTCGAATTGTATAATAATTATCATAGTTATTTACTTTCATCAAGCTGCTCTGTTAGTTTGCATTTTATGCAATCAATAGTGATAAGCGTGTTGGTATCATATTTGATTTTAGCAGCTGGTACAGAAGTGATCTTATGGCAGTATTCAGAGGCAAAACCGGTTAGGACGCAACTTGATGAGTCCAGTTCACGGTATTTCAACGAGAAACAATGGGGATCATTGTAACATTTTCGTGTGCATTCAAGAAGAGAATTTGCTTTAGTCCTGTTGATATGGTACCCTTCTCGATCTGACTCCGTTATGTTTACATGTACTCTCAGCTGTTCATCCGAACATTCTAGAAAGAGCAGTGAAAGATTTACGCATCTTAATTTAATAATAATATTCACATTTCAGAAAATTTGACAGTTTTCTACTGCCATTATCAACTTGAAAAATTTGCTATTTTATTAAAGTTTAATTTATATAAGCATTTACTTGAAACAATTATATTAAGTTATATAATAAATGTTTATAAATAAAAGTACTTATGATAAAATAAGCAAAATTAGGTATGTTCTTAGTGAACTTGATCTTAAAATCATCTCTCAAAACTGCATATCATGACTTTTTATCACTAGTTGCTATAAATTTACGTAGTCACATTTCATCTTGATCAATGTAATCAATTAAATGAATACAAGAGCAGTCTAGAAAATTATAAATAAGTCAGTAAACAAGTTTTTTTTTTTTTTGAAAATGAATTATTTTAATTTTGAAAGATATCATCACCATAAACAATGAATTTTCTTATGCAAGATGAAAAACTTATAGACAAAATCTTGATTGGTTTGAAATTCGAAAACTATTAATTCATCACTTCCATTACTTGAAATTTCAGCAAAATTTTGAATGATATTCGCTTGTAAGTTTTATTTATAACAGTTTAGCTCACTGCTCGTCCTTTAGCAAATTATAAATCATTAGCGAAAACATTACAATGGCTTCTTAATTCCTTTTTTTGAAATTACGCAATTCGACTTTTAATATCCTCTCAATTTGCTTAAATTATATTATCCGTTTGACCTTCAAGATCTATAACCATCCATTCTCTATAAGGGGTCAGTTTTCATATTCATGGAATTATCAACTTCACTTTTCAATAATCTGGTATATCTATCAATGAACAAAGTTAAAGCTTAAGCACTTGCTGCGACACAGTTTCTATGTCGTAGTTTGCAAAGAAATCTTTCCTATGGAATGAAATGACTGAACAAGATATAGCAATAACAAAAGCAATACCTGATTTTTGAAATCGCTTTGGTGCAGCACTGATAAGGGTGATAATGTATAATGTGATAACATTAAACAACACTGTCCGAATCATCAATATTTTTGTCTACTTCCGACAACTCTTCGTGAGCTCTGTGAATATGCTAAAGTTAGAGAATATTAATTGATATATCTGTTGTTCTTCCACAGATCCAATTTTGTTTTTGTTGAATTTGCACTTTTTGATTCTGCAAATTAAGTAGTGAAATTATATTATATTCCACATTGAAATAGCGATTTACAGTGGTGGATAAAGGTGCAATTTGCGTGATTGACATGCAAAATTATGCGATAATAAGCAAAACATTTATGACAAATAAATACAGGAAAATTTGAATTACGCAGCTGCTTTGAAGTCAAGTATTTAATTTGTGAAGGTGAAAAAAGGAAAAAACGATATTGAACTTTTTTTTAATCACTTTGTAATACGTATCTAGAATACTTATCAAAGTTTTATGGTTAGAGCTTTGGTGTTGATCTTTTTATCTTGATGCAATTAAATTGTCGCAGTACTAAAGTTGGTATAATTTTGAGACTTTACCGTTATTGTTGCTAATTGATTTTCTACTGAATGAAATGTTGTTAAAATGATAACTACGATAATGATATGTATCATATAATAGTATCAAAAACAATGCTACGATGAATTTTAAATGTTTTGGAAGAGACAAAAAAGTGACTTTGGGACTGCTTGATTTTCACCCTATGATCAGACCAAAAATTTCTGACTGTCCTGAAAGATATCGGAATCAAGCGATGCAATCATATGGTAGAAAGTATACTGCTGTTCACTTATCAATTGCAATTTTATCTTTATAACTGTTACAATTTCAATTTTTCTTTAATGAAAGGAAAACAGAGGACGAGAATTATTGCCTCTTCATAACACATCTGGGAATTGAGAAAATATGGGAAGATGAGAGTATTGGACATTGGACAGTTTGTTCTGCAATGGTCACAATGGTACTCGTTATCAGAGCGCAAAACGAGCAGTATAGGAGTGATTAAATTCATTCACTATCACTTTTTCGTTTCTCAGCAATTTCGAAAATTTATTACCTGTATTTTTACGATCACTTCTCAAAAATGTAATTATCTCATTCAAAAAATTTCGAAAATATATCACTTTTTTAAGTGTGTATTTTCTATGAATATAATTGCGTTGTAATCTTTAAGTGTAATTTGCTGATTGTTGCTATGTACAAAAGCTAAAGAAGATTTAAAAATATTAATAATATATAAAATAGGATAGTTTATAATATTCCATGACTTTTAAAATGATAAAAAAATAAAAAAATGCTTAAAATATAGGTTCTTAAAAGTATAGGTTAGCCATATTTAGCAGATGAAGCTTATAGCTGAATAAAAAGTGATCAAAGTATGAAAAAAAAATATATAAATGAAAAGAATTGGGGACAGTTTTTTATCTAAATGAAATAGATTAAAATGCTGTATATACTTCAAATAAGAATTTCAATAAACAGTTTCTTAAACAACTTGCAAAATTATTGCAGTTTCAAAGTAAATTTTTGCACAAGAACTTCGGATTCAGACACAATCACACATGTGCCATAAACAGTCAGATGGATGAGTTATATTAAATAATAAGGATATTGAAACTTTAAGATACGATATCATGATCAAACATAGTGATCACACAGAAAGAATTTGAATGAGACGTATAGAATAATTTACTTAAAAGCATTTAAAAGTAATTTGTGGTAATTGAGTTAGCAAAAAGTAATTCCTTTCTATATTCTCAAGAATATACCTGCTAAGAAGTGAAACACTGCTCAATATCTCGCAGGTTTCATAAATTCTATAAAAATTTTACAAATGCATAAGAATGATTTTGAAAAACATATGAAAATATGTCACTATTACCCAAAATATTGGAAATGGAAATTTAAACTTATATCTCATCAGTTAGTAAATGTTTATAGTAATTGAACTTCTTTCTTGCAGATTTGGCTTTTTTATTAAAAAGCAAATTTAGTCACAATTCGGTACGTAAAAGTAATTAAGACATTAAGTAATGTTCATGTCCTTTCCAGTATCCTATGACTTGATGGCGTGACTCCCACGAATAAAATCATTTTCTTCAGCAATATCCTCAGTATTTGACAATCTGTAAAAAGCAGAAATTCGTTATCACTTTATAAAAGGGATCAATTTAGCAACTGGAAAAGTAAGTAAATTGTAAAAAAAAAAAAAAAAAAAAAAATTGTACGCTGGATGAAAGTACTGATACAAGTTGCACAATATCATACCAAATTGCAAGATCAAAAGTGATAAGTACAATGGATAAGGAAACTGATTGAAACGAGATTAGTGGCGTGCACATGCATATTTCCGTAAATCGCAGCTATTCTATAAACTAATTGTTATTATATTTAAAAAATTCTGACCCAATTTATTACACGAATCAGTTACTGATATATCGATTTCCTAATTTATCCACAATAACAACATCCTCCTTTAGCTGTTCCCTCTCATCAGTCACAACTTTCCTTTCAGAAATTTTGAAATCATAAACTATTTCTTCCCCCCAAAAATTAGATGTTATCAACTTCAACTTCCAAAAGTTGTTTTCCGTAGGTTCTTTCAAAAAAAAAAAAAAAGAAAACAAACATAGCAGAAAAAAACAAAAATTGTAAGTTGAAACTGAAATTAAACTTCAATTACACAGAATCGAAAACTGGTTCAATGTCTGTGATGGATTTATGACCTTATCTTCTATTCCGCTCATAACCATTACTTTTCACGATTTTCGAATTCTCAGAATTTTTTGCAAACAATATAACTTTAAAATAAATTTCCTATAACCTCTGATCACTTATCAGGTCTTCAGCACCATTTAGGGTAAAAATTTGAAGAAGGAAAATAATTTTTCTTTAGTTTTTAGATCATTGAAAGATTTACTTGTCAACTGAAAATATTTTTCTACGTGAAATACATTGTGAAAATGTTACGATAAACATTCTTTGTGAATTCGAAGAAGAACAATAAGTCAATTTAGATGTAAGCAATTGTTCAACATGAAGTTGGATGAGGCGTAGTTGGATGATATTCTAGCAATAATTTTTTCAGCACTTACCAGTATTTTGAAGTTTCTATGAAGATGTCAAATGATACTACCACATGTAAGCTAACAACAATTGTACAGATACTAAAATAGCAATTAAATAATAAGAGAGTTGGAAGTTTACTGAGTGCTATGAAAAATTATTTAATAAAAAATAAATAAAATATTTTGTATTTTGGTTTGAAGTGTTTGATATTCAAAAGAAAAGAAAGGATGAATGGAAAAGAAAATTACTCAAATTACTCGTTTCGGAAGAAAAAAACTGCTTCGTAGTGAGAGTAGAAATGAACCGGATATTCATCCAAGCGATAGATACAAAGTATCAATCAAACATGACCTGCGTTTCGTCTTTGAAAAAAGGGTAAACATCAATCGTCGCCTTTATATGGAAATTCTACATTCTTCTGATTCCGGGTAACACAGCAATTCCTCCCATTTTCTTGTCTGCCTAAAAAATATGTTCACAAAAACTATCGGTGATCTACAAAAACTTCGATGACTCATAAAAACATTCTATTCATTATTTATTATTTATTATTTCTGTCAACTTCACGATTATTGTTACTTCAATATTGACCTCCTACGGTTTTTATTCTTACAACTGATATATTTTTGTTAATTTTGAACTATTAATATCAGAATTTTGTACTTCAAAGTTACGTATTCTCTCCATTTAAAAAGGATTATTTGAATTTTCATCTACAAGGTATAGTTTTTATGAGAATTATTGGCTAGCAACTAGTGGCATTACGATACACAGAGTTTTCTAATGTTCTGAAATATAACGATAGGTTAAAGTATAAAATGAAGTCATGAAACACAATACGTTATGAGAGAAAACTGGCATGACAAATGAAAGAGAAGCTATACCTTACTATTTCATTAATTAAAAAGCCTTTCGATTAACGAAACTTGATCCAGGTATGGAGTCATTGTTGCGGAATGTTGAAAATAAACCAATGATTTTCATACAAAACATATGACATGTAGAAAGTAACACAGCAAGGCTGTATGACGGAACCCTAAAATTCCATATTTTTTAATGAAATGCAAAAATGAGAAACGCCAAAGCCATGTGAGTTGAAATGACGAAGGTGCGAGTGCTTTTTTCTTCTTTGAAGAATTAACTAAACAAGAAAATAAAGGAACAAATGAAGTAAATTGCTTTTGCTTGGCAGAAGTAATATTATATCAAAAGAATGAACAGCTTGTTTACACTTCTTAAATTGTAGCAGAAATTAAATGATGAATTTAGTCGTTCTTCCCGCCTCTCATTCTTAACCGTCACTTCACCCATCATTTCCCCTCCTTTATACCACTTTTGGAGAGCAAAATTAACTAACTTCATTGTTCTTCCTTTATCATCATTTCATGTTGTCTTTGCGTATCCTCCAATTCATAAATGTTCAAATCAAGTGTCCTTCTTCATCATCTTCCTCTTCTTCCCGTTCTTAATTACTTGATTGTCCTGTTTCGCCTTATCATACATCCAACTAATGTTGTTGCGTGCTAATAAACTTTATCTACTCAATACTCTGCTTAGTAAAAGATGATGATGATTAGTAAAAGATTATAGTAAAAGAGCAAATTAATTTAATCTTAAAAGCGATATTTTTATTGACATTTCTAGATAAGTTTAGTCTGAAAGCATTCTATCCCCTACATAAAATTAGAAAACAGGTAGCACCTCCGAATAAGAAAAATACTAACAAAAACATAATTTTCTAACTACTTATTGAAAAAATTTCACTGTCAGATTTGTCACTTCTGAATTACTGCATTATTTTATAGACTGGGAATAACATATCAAATATGTATAACAAATGCTTCTACAATTCTTTAATTTAAATAATATCTAAACAAATATTGTTCCCACACCAACAGAAGTATGGAAATATCAAATAGTTAAAATCTATATTTGACTGTATAAATAAAAATAGCAGATAAAAACAATATGATTTAAGAAGATTAGAGAACTGATAGTTTGTAAGTCTGTGAGTTTGTTTGTTGATGAGCCATTAATGTGGCTGATCAACCTTCTTTTATTGAACTAATTGAGTGGGTCTTATCGTGATCTATTTTCATCAGGACGACCGTTTATCATTATCATCAAGCTGCAATACTGGGCGGCGACCGCGACAAGAGGGCTGGAAACGTTCACTGCGCTTTCCGTTGAATTCAGAATTACTATCACTAGCCATTACTACCGACACTTTATGATGGAATAATCAAAGTGATATCGTGATATCTTTTCATTTATCTCACTTTAACAATTGTTTGTCCCTCTGTTATAAACAATAACGCTCTAAGAGCTTTCAGTGGCGGATGAATCATATTAATTACTAACAAAATTTATCCACTTTTTGATACTAAGACATGAGAAAGCATGATTGACCTATTCCCGAGCACTACGACATATATCATTTATCACTTCCTGGATAGAATGCACACATTTTTGTAGCACACACATGCTTCTATTTTATTGATGGGTACGAGTGTGTTCAAACATTTAACTCTGTCCTAATTAAGGATATGCCGATTATTTTATAACTGCTAACTTTAACTTTAGGTATGGATAATAAGTTAATTTGGAACTAAAACTCGAAAGCTTAGTTTGGATACCAAAACAGCATTTCATACCATGATGCACTGCTGCTAAAGTTGCAATAAGAGTGAAAATAATGGTAGTGAAAGTGAGTGGATTGGATTTTCTTTATCATTGAAAACCATAGATTTTGGTTATAGGAAGGAACAAGAAACCTGAAAAATAAATAAGAAGAAAGTTCCAATTTTTATATCAAAACTTACCACTTTACCCTACACTCTTCCCATTTATTTAATCGTTAATCCCTTGATTAAAATGTTTGATATTTGTCGATTTCATTCCCTGAGTTCATCGAAAATTTTAAAGATCTGGAAAAGAAAAGATTTTTTTAATTTTCAACACCTCTTGCCCTATTTAATACGACAAATTAGATTTGTAAAAAAAAAAAGAACTGGAAAAGTTAAAAAAATTCCATAACACTAATATCAGGTGTATTTAATCAATTCAGAGAGAGAATAATTAATGGCAATAGAGTTCTATAAATTATTGTAATTGCTATAATTCATTCCCTCGTTTTCTCCTATCACTTTGATTCTGGTTCAACCGTTTTTAAATTTATGTTACTTTATTATTATTACTGATATGGATGACACTGAAATTTATGATATTGTATCATTTTGTCTGAAATCAGTATAGTAAACAAGAAATGGAAACACAGATCAGGAATAAATAAGTCAATTTCTCGAATCCAAAAATGGTTGTAAAGATAGTAGCAAATTATAATTAGTATAATTTCACCATAATAAAGCGACCTCAAACCAATCTTATAAATCGGAAATTATTTATTGGCGGCCTTTATCAAGTAGCTTTGAAATCCTTAAACATAAAAAATCAAATTTATCGGAATCAAAGTAAACATTAAATTTAGATTGAATACAATTAATAATGTCTATTACTATGCTGCCACATTAATTTTTCTATTGTTATTCTTCTCTAGACGAATTTAATGAAACATATCAAAAAAATGAACTTTAATTTATTTCACAGGATCTTATCATCTACCAATTCAGGTGCAAATTTTAAATTCATTGCAAATTCAACTAACAGTGAAAAGTTTTGAATAAACAAATTTTTTACAATGAAACCTAAATGCATAAGTGCATTTTAAAGGTATACATAATGAGAAGTGCTTACTTCTAATAGAGATTATGTAAAGAGATTAGCGACAAATCACTTCTATTTTCTGCAAATTCTGTCATTTCTCAGTTATTTTTGTCATCAGCAAAGATGAAAGAAAGAAAGAAAATGAAAAATTTTGAAACGCCACTTCTAATGCGACAAAAAAATGATGAAAAGACAAGATGCAAATGAATGGATGAAGCAATCATTTTTTATGTTTTTATTTACAAAGCATTAACAGACGAATAAGCGAACAAAATAAGTAAAATAAACTTATTTAATCCATTTAACACATAATAATTATAAGTAATGAGTAAATTTTAAGTTATTTTTGTCAGATAAATATAATATTTGCTCGTTTATATATATTTGTCCAAATACAGTAGTGGAAATGATAAAATTTGCAGGAAGTCTTTCCTTATTAAGCATACGTTTTTTTAAATGCACATGATGATTTTAAAAGCTATAAAAGTTACCATCACCTTGATAGGAACATTGATTATGCAACTGTTCTTAAATAGATATATTATAAAACATATGAAATACAGAATGTTTACTATAAATTAATTATCTTTTCTAGTTATTGTTGGAAAGTTTTGGGAAAATCTATCTATTACGATATGCAAAATTTAACATAAGCAATGAAATTCGATGTCTTATCAAAAAAATAATTCTATTCGGCCAGTGAATAAGGAAAGAAATTCTGAAGAAATATTAGATGACGAGAACAGGATGTTAGTGACTGTCAAAACAATTCTCTCATTAGAATTATTTACATTTTTTCTGGATGAATGATCACAGCATATATTTGTGCTTGTCGTATTCAAATCAAAATAACATTTTTTGAAATATGTGAACCTTTTGATATCTCATAATTTATCTTTCCCATGATTATTTTTTCATGCACATAGAGCAGGGCACATAATCTTACAATGAAAAATTTCAACTTTATTTTCTTATTGGTCTCTCACTGCAAGTTAAAGAGAAATAAAAAGCAATGACTGTCAAAAATTCACTGCATTTGACAGAGAAAATAAAAATTTTGTATCTTTTTTCATAACAACAAAAAAGAAATTTTAATTTCCTATAAAAAACACTTTTTATCTAAAATTTTTTTATTAAAACAAACAATTTTTTACAGCAGCGTCGCACAGTGCTGGTTACGTATCATTTTTTCAGTTTAGAACAATTTTTGTGGCAGTAATCTTTTTAAAATCTTAATTTGATTTATCAACAAATAGTTATTGCATGAACTGCAACAGCATGTTGTGTCATTTAGCTTGACAGCATTAGTATGCAATTTAATTTTATGAAACAAAAATTAATTATAGTCAAAGAAGGTTATATAATAATTCCTGTGTAATAAATGAACATCGAATTAACATTTTTTATAATAAATACTTTTTGCTGTGAGTTTATCAAACCCACTGGTTCAGTATAAAAAAGAAAAAAAAGTAAGACTGAGAACATTCTAATGACTAAAGCTAAAATTCTATAACACTCTGATGTGACAAGTGAAAGTAATTGACTAACATTTCTCCTGTAATAAATAAACACTACTATACTGACCTTTCTGAGATTTATTATTATTGCAATTAGAAATGAACTATTTTAATATGATATGAAACATATACTCAGCTATTTATGTATAAGTTTGACAAATAAACAAAATTTAAAAAAATATGGGAATATTTGGTCATTTTCATAATGCAGAGAAAGATGCTTATATAATTTGTCATCCTCTCATGACTGGTTTCTATGCGTAATCCATTGTCATATCATGTCATGCGCCGTTTCACTGATTGGAATGGTTTTCAAATTTCGAGTAAAAACTGTCCATTAAACTCAGCTAAGGCAAAAAATCAGGAAAAGATAAATATTTCGATCAAAAATGACAATTAAAAGAAACATACATGAATTAATCCTTCAAATTTGCCCATTATTCATAATCTTTTCTTTATAAATTATTATTTGGAACGACAATTCCTCCTTTCGCTAGTAACAAAGATTATTATTAAGGTACCATGTGTTTCTTTAAAAGTAGTTTTATCTTACATAGAGTGAAGTTTTTAACTCCATTATCCGTTATACTCATCAAACAATATTTTTTTAAAGTGACATAAGGAAATGAGTGCTTGTTAATTTGTCAACTCGTTTCAACAAATTTTCATTTTTTTTTTTCACTTTTTTATGACTCTTTAAAAGTAACACCCTTAAAAATCCAATTCCTGAATTACAATTTTGTTCACAGCGATCCAAATTCCGAAATGAAATGAAAAGTATAAATCATGTTGCGCAGGTCATCCTCGACATTTTTTTTTCCACTCATGTAAGCCAAATTCTCTTCATTACTTCCAGTTCCTCTTTGTTTAAGAAAATTTTTTACTTGCAAAATATCAACAAGAAACCAACAATTTTTCATGAGGCATTCTTTGCAAAAATTTAATTATTGGTCATCAATTTACATTGCTTTTTTGTTTACAATAGTTGGTGTCGTCTGCCGGATATTACGATGACATATATAAAAGTAATTGCTCTAACAAATTATTTAACAATTTCAAAATATAAACTAATGAATCACTTTCCGAGAAATGAAATTTTTTGCAATTAACTTTTCAATTAATATATCTTGCAGTGATTGAAGGCATTAAAAAGTTACAATTTCGAAGCATTTTTCAAAAAAAATTTCTTTAAGAGTAATCCAAATTAGATTTTAAAATTGTCTTTTGATTGCTGGATTGCTTATCTTTTGATCCAGAAAATTCTTTAGGTGCATATAGTTGAAGAAATTCAGAAAACAGTATCATTATTATATTCCCCATACAAACTCATCAATTTTTAAATTTCTTGGATTGCATGCAACTGAACGATTTCCCAGTTTTCCTTTCAACAGTCTAAGAACAACCAATATTTTGATTTAAAATGGACTATATTTTTAAGGAACTAATCGAAACTTCTCAAAACAATTATTTTATCGCAAAATATTAACATACGCCTGTCAAACAAACAAACATAGGAAAATATCTTTATCGGAATTCATCATTTTATCATTTCTATTCTTCTCAAGTAATAAATTTGAGAAAAACTATGAAAACAGGAATTATTATCCACATTGCAGAATGAATCATTCCTAAATACTTTTACTATGATCGTACATTTCAGCACAAAGAGATTCATCCATTAATGAAAGCAAGTTTAGAATCTCATCAGACTCTTCACTCTGTTTTGCTTTTGTGATGGATGTATGATTATAATTTATCGCATCTTTTTCTAAAATGGTCAGAGTAACATAACACGCATTTCACTGCAAATAAACGCTAAAATCGATAATTTCCAGACGAATGTTACTGTCGAGATTTGATTTCATGGCGCAATATGTCTCTGTTATTGTAACTAGAAATCACAATTTTTCTTCACTGTCTAATCTTAACTATCTGAAAAATGTTACATCTTAGTTATTACAGTATTATGGTAATAACTAAGATTACAGTTTTCATTAGAGTTAATTTTTTTATCATTTGTTACAAAAAATAACTCTAATGAAAAATAGAAGTGCTCAGGTGAATTAAGAAATTTTACAATTCGTTTTGATTATTACTGCTTCATATCTATATCTCTCAGTCCAAGTTAAATTTTCAATACTATGTCATCTAAATCTTTAAAGATGGCATAATAAATATCAGAGATAGATCAAAGTAAATGGTCAGCCCCAAAGTTTTTCTTTGAGAAGTTTAAGCTGAGTTCTGCCTAGCACACATTTGTACCATTACATTTGCATTTTCGTCTTCTTATTATTATGTGAAATGAAATTATTATGCGCGAAATGCCATAGTCTAAAATGTTTTAATGTTAGAATGCTTCACTTTGTTCATATAAATGCATCTAACTTTGAAATGATGACTTGTCACTCCTCCATCTCACCCAAATATATGCTCCAGTATGCAAAATTGAACAGGATAAAAGCCACTGGAAAAATCAACCTGAAACGAAATGAACTAAACTTTTCTTTCTTATATCAAACGTTGCGATAAAGCTTTTACTTGAACTAATTAGTAACGGCAATGAAGCAAAAAATAATTTCCTAGGAATGTGCGGGATAGTGATTGCCTGATTTATATCAAAGTAATAGCTACTATTATCATTATTGCCTTATTACTTTCTACTAAATCCATGCTTAAAATTCATTTCTCTCGCAATAAGTTTAAATTAATTTTTAAAATTTTAAAGTTCATATGGAATGCAGCACCTGGCCATTATATCGATTCGTTCCGCTCGTTCACGTGAAGATAACAAACTGCACCATCGTATTAATTCGACGCGTTTCCTTTGTCCGATGTATATCAGATCTGATACGTCCTAAAAATACACACTCAGCGGATTCTATCTTCTTTGATTATTGAAGCTCCATGTATTGTCATTATTCAGTTTGTTATCTACTTCCTTGAAGTTCGAATTTTTTATTCACTTTCTAGGAGTTAGGAATTCAGGGGGGTTTTTCAATTCTAATTTTCCACAAAAAAATTGATCCGAAAATATGCAACGATAAGTGAGGAAGCAAACCTGAAATGTCCAAATAGGATCCGGAGCATGTAATATGTGTGATGGATTGCAGTCCATCAATTCCCCGCTTTTTTCTTCAAAACTTTGTTTCCGCCTATATCGTAATAAGCTCTGCAAACGTACATTTTCTTTTTTATTGATTGGAAATGAAGAATTAATAGTAAGGAAAAAGAAGAAATAATTGTAACTATGTATTATTTATTATATGCTAAAGAAGTGATAAGTATACGGAAGGTAATAACTTTTTTCTCGGGACTGTTTAAACAGGATGCTGGTGAAGTTGCAATACATTCCACAGGACTATACAAAAGGCCATTTTCGATAACATTAGTGAGACGCGTTTGATTGCATGTCATCTTTCGTACTTCTCTGAAAGATGTAAATTAAATTAAATCCAAAAGCCCGAAATCATTCAGAAATCACCACTTTACTCATAAACATTCATAAAGATTGTAAGTATTGATAAGCAAAGTTTACTTTATACCTGAAAATTAGTCACATTTTTTCTCTCTTTATTAGGTTTTTATACTAAAATTCAATGCCGATATTTTTTTAATCCTGTCATATTGTTTGTTCATCATATTGTTCATTTTTTGATATTAAAATCAGTTAAATGAAATTATTTAAAACGATACAGTGGAGCATTAAACAACATTAAAAAAGAAAAAGGAGAAAATTTAGAAATGAAAAAGAAATATCTTTCTTTATCTTTAAACAGCCAGTTTTTTTATAAATCCTGAGATTTTTTGAATTTTGTCTTTTTGTGCTTTTTTTTCAAAAAGAAATTGTAGCTCATACTTTGTTTCCAAAGGGATTTTTGCATGATTTTCAGTTAAACAAAGAAAATAACACCAAAATGTGCTTTGAAACAAAAATTGATTGCTTCGAAATGTTTTAGATAAAAGGATTATTGCAGTATTCACTGTTTTGAATTTGGAAATAGTATTTTAAAATACTTGAAATTGCTTGAATTTGATACCGATGTTTATCGAAAATTCCCACGTAATTCACAACTGCGTATTCGATCAATGATGCAAATATGAATACTGAAATGTTATCAAAATCGAAGCAGAGTTGTTGATGGTAATTTATTTCATTAGCTTGAAATGAAAAAGACTGAAATGACCAAAATTAGAATACGAACCGACGCAAGCCCCGATCCATATATCAATAGCTTTGGTATAACTCACTGGAGGTAGATTCGAATTAATTGCTGGAAAAGAAAATAATAATTGGTTTCTTTTGATAGTCAATCAAACAGATTGAATTATATTTTTTATTTCAGCGTTTAAATATCAATTTATCAGGTGACGAGTTAATTATAAGCTTCTGTATGCTGTTTGAATGTGCAGGATCACTATGATTAGGATCATTGTGATTGGAGATAATTTGATTCGAAGTATTATGATTAGGGTCAATACGGTTATTCCTTTGGTGGATAGATACATAATCAGCAAACTTTTTGCATATCTTTTCAGATTTCATTGCAATTACTACTTAATGGAAAAATTGGAGCATATGAGAGTGCATTGTTTTTGAACGTACCTTAATTTTTCAATTATGTTCCCTTAAAGTAAGTAGGTGGCACTGTACAACCCTAACAACCTGACCCATTCTAAACGACGGAACAAAAATTGTTAAAATGATGACGCTATAGTTGCAATCACGGAAGTGATAAATCACTATTCAAGCTACGATCTCTTCTAGCAGCTAAACTCGTCAACATAATATAATTAAATTTTTTCCAAAGTAGTTTTAAAATGAAAAGTTTAAAATGACCATCTCAAAAAAATTTTTTCTCCCTCAAATGAATTTCAACTCATTAAAATGGATTGAAACATATAAACTTTTGTGAAAAATTATGCTTTTTCTGAAACTGCTAGTCTTGTAAAGTATTTAATTAGAAATCAGATAAATGTACAATGAAAATATTTAGCCATAAAACTCTGGAGTTGGATATTATACTGCTTACTTTTAGTTAACCAAAACTTTAAGGAAATATTAAGCCCAATGCAATTCACTGCTGATTAATCCTGTTACATATGGGATTAAAAAGAAACATAATACTTGGTAATTTTCTATTGAGTATTTCATTTATAATTTAATTAGCAGTTGTTAATTAATTAGTTTTGCTATTCCAAACGACGAAAATTACGCTCGTTCTATTCAATGTTTATTTATCCATGATTCTGAGGGACTATTCCGCTCGTATCAATACTTCTTTCTGGATTGCAAGATTTGCAAGGTGTGTGAGCAGTTGTCGAGAGAGATATATGTGAGCAGTTGTCGAGAGAGAAAGGTGAATTGCATGACAATATTGGACAGAGGAAAAGAGCTATGTTGCAAAATGCATTAAATAGTATTTTTGTTGGTTAAAAGGGCAACAAATGTGTGAGGAACCGAGATCGGATAGCAAATGAGGGGAGAAAAGACAGGTGGTTAAACTGACCATGTGATTGGGTGATCATGGTCAGCAGGGTGACAATTGCAAGAGGCACGCGTGCGGCGGTGCTTTTCCAGTCAATCCAATATGATACCCAAGACACTCCGACCAGCATTGTCGATGGAATGTAAAGCTGTAGGAGAAAGAATGAGAAAACACGACTGAGTCTAAGCTCCACCCGAAGACAGCTGTATGTCCCTGAAATTGAAATTGTGTTAAAGGAATTTAAGTTAGCTTTGTAATTGACTTATGCACGAGCTTATTTCAATGATTTCGTGGCGCATATTGCTAGTTTTAAAAAATATTTAATATTTTTATTACTTGTATGACAAGTAATTTAAACAAATAAATGTTAATTATTAAGTTGCAGAAGTAAAACAGTTTTATGAAAGTGAAGGAAGTTAGGTATGTAATCCCAATTTTTATTATATTTTGTAGTAGTATTAAGTGGAAAGGTAACATACAAAGAAATGGAAATGTTAGGTTAAATAACTACTATTACGATTCTTTGAACAATTTGCTAGCAAATATGCTCAGAATGCCTATATCACACAGATGGACAGTAGCAAGTTACCTGTATTCGTGGTGCTATCACAGGATTTATTTTCAAAGGCACTGATTCGGAAATTCGGCAGAGCATTATTGGCATCCTTATCAATTGTTATTGCAGCACGGTCCCATTTGTAAACAATATCAGTTGTTGTATAAGCATCTGTAAATATTTATCTGCAATCATTGTCGAATGATAAGATGACATTTAAATATTAGGTGAGCATTACTGGTTCTTCTTGTTAATTATAGTACTTACAACTAGCAAAATCGATAAGGCACTCTTGAACATCCATTGGATACCGAATCAGGTTCATTTGACATGCCAGTATTAGCGTTAACCTGAAATCCATTCACTGTGCCATTCAATAATTTCAATCTTTGACAAATAACAATAATTATGCTCCAAGATAATAAGAATGCATATATTTTGGCTAAAATTATATGATAACCTGCGATTGTAAATAACTTTTCCATCAGAGCGCAATTTGATAAATTTGTTCTCCTGGAAATAACATTATTTTATAAAAGTCAATCAACAAAAAGATAATATCATTGGATAAAATAGAATATAGAATAACACGAGACGATATACTCTGAAATAAATTTATTAGAAAAAAATATGGAAACAAGACAAAATAAGTCAGAGAATAATTCAATAATTTATCAATAGATTATAAACCTGATCCAACATATGGTACCATCCGTTCCGCTCATTTTGAAAGAACGTGTCAGGAATCCACAGTACTTGATCACGAGCAACATGAATAAAGTCAAAGTTACGGAAATCACTATGATCTGTGTATCGAAGTCGATCATCAAACCATTCTTGTTGAAAGCGAAATTGTGCAACAAATTCCTGTGAAAAAAAAAAAAGATCCTTTCTAGGTTATACATATGAACAAAGAAAAGAAAGATTTGATTTAATTTATGTGCCACTAAAATATTCGACAAAATAGCATTAATGCTAAAAAAAAGCTCTTAAACATTTTAAAATTTATAAGAGAAATGTTGAAGTATAATGTTTCCTCAAGCAAACATCGACTAAGCAAGGGAATGCTTATGTCATACTTTGAACATTTTAAGTAATTTGAATATGGATATTGAAACGGAAAGATTACCATATTTCGCTCGCTAATTGCACTAATGGAACGAATTTCCAAGCTCGTCCACACAATTACTGGACCTTCTGAAATTCATTTTTTTCCTACATGCTTTCAAATTTTTTAATAGCAATAATTGCGAAAAGTCTGATGGATACAGTAACTCGTATTTCAAATGTAAAGGACTTACTTTGATCATTAGTGGGCATTCTTCCGGAAGGTCGCACTGTAGGATCATAATTATCAAGTAACTCACAAACGGTCATCTGTTCTCGCCAAGAGCGATAATTTGTTGTATGTCTATTGAAGGCCATTCGTTTGCTAAAAAATAAGAACGAACTAATTTTGACTTAATTGGTTGAATGAATTTGAATTAACTCACTTTATTTGTTAAATTCGGCAAAAAGTACGAATGTTGCAACTGATTCTAAATAATTTTCAATTTTCTTTCATGAAATATGTACGCTCAATTAAACGCACATATTTCAAAATGCTCACCAAGGTTTTCGTTTTTGCTTCCGAGCCAATGAAATATCAGCTACTGTTAATAACATAATTAACATAAACAGTACTGCTGCAGTAGGATGAATAATTTTACGCTGTGCTGTTAATGTCCGAAAGATTATCATTTTAAAAGAAACGTTATGCTCGATGCGCTTTTCATCATAAAGCGCTTCAGCTAAGTGAAGATCATGCAGTTCAAATATCACGTTTTCTGCTGGGAATGCTTATGTTGGCGTTGTTAAGTTTTTGAAGGCTAAAAGTTGTAGATTGTTGATATCAAATAGCGAGATCAACAGCATGAATGTCTTTCACATTGATAAGTATTCAAATAAGTAATAAATCTAAACACTAATGATAATCAACATTTCAAACATAATTTAGTGATAATTTTCGATCATATGTCAAAAATTATCACTGATAAAGCCTATAATATAACTTTCACATTAATTCGTCATGTAGATAAATTAATGAATTAGTTTATAAATCACAAATACTTTCAGTCAGATTTTATTGCATTGTAGCAGTTCAGTCTTGTTTTATTGTCTTTAGCATAACAATAATAATATACTGGTAGTTATTTAATTTAGAATTAATGGTTAATAAATAATGAAATTAAGTGAGAAAAGTAATATAATTGCAGTTTGCTAGCAAAAATGTTTTAAAGGTGGTAAACTTCAGATCAATAAATCTGAGCAAGGAGAAAACAAAAACAAAAATAATCAATCTTTATTTTGACAGGCGTAATGATTTGACGGTTATTATCAAACTTTCATTTCTTCGTTTGTCCGTCGTATCGACTTCAATAGCGCTTCTTTACTTTATTCATATAATTTGTGCTAATTCTGTGTTAATATACTTAAATTAGTCAGGAAAAACATTATATATAGAACTATAAAGAAGTATAGAAGCTAGCAATTCATAAGTTACTTCAATTTAAGAAATTTCTTCATAAAATTTTTGAATAATAAAACTAATAACTTGTGGGTTTCTTCAAAAAGCACAAGTTTGTCATTTTCAGTAATAAACCAATTCGGCGTCCTTCTTTTCTACTCGATGCACAAACTTTTCTTCTCATATAGATGGTTCGCAAATAATATAGCATTAAGGAATTTCCAAACAAAACAGTTTTATGTATTTCTGAAATTTTCATAAAATATTTCCTTCTTTTTACTAATAGTAATTCCTTTCCAAACATTTTGCTTTATATCTGAGTATTCCTTTCTTTTCTGATAAAGATTGATTCATTAAAAAAATTCTAATAAACCCAGAAAAGAAAATTATGACTGTTTTCATCGAGTTAATTAAGTTTAAATCGATGTTGTGATCTCTCGCTTATTCGTTCATCCATTCTTATAGAAAATTTTTTCACAAGATTTGTCAGGCTAGCATAAGTCTTCGTGTCACAAACAACTTCTATTAGCCTTGAAAAATTCTTTTGTCAAAATTCTTTGAGCTATCTGAATGAGAAGAATTTAGATAAAATTTTTTTTTAATAAAATTAAAAAAAAAAAATCATATTAAAAGAAGAACACAGGCTTAATGACTAATCCAAAAATATTTTAATATTAAAGTTCATTTTTAAAAGTACAGAAAATTTTTTTGCACTGTGGTTAAGGAAAGACGAAATATTAAGTGTTCGACATCATGCTGTTTGTTTTTCTACTTTTCTAGAAGGGGAAAAGAAGAAAAGGAAATGCTTTCAAGGAATTGTATTTCGTCACTCTTCAAATTCCGAAAGAAAAGAGACTTTATTTACTTTTTCTTTTTGCTTCTCAGTTATTTGCAAATTTTATTTTTCTTTCGTACATATTATTTCTAACGAAATTACTTCAACTTTATTCAAGACAAAACTTGATTCTTTAAAAAAGATTCTTGAAAATTTTACCCTAAATAAATTTATTGATAATGCGTTTGCTTCCTTTTTTTAAAGAATCTATTATTATTATCTAATAATGAATGTAATTATAATTATCCCAAAAAATATCTTTGAAATACTTTCAAAAACCTTCTTGGAAAGCTTATGGAAGATTCTTAGCATAACCATGTCCATGAGGTATTAAATTAAAATGCAACAGTTTCTGGGTAAAAAAAATTTATGATGAGGAGAATATGGGAGAGCTGCTAATTCATTTCACAATTTACCCAAAAACCAATGAAATAATTTCCCTTTATTGACATTTTCAATTTTGAAGTGTGAAAAACATAGATGATAAATAAAGCAAAAGATGTTGGAACTTTTTAATTCAAAAGCTCAATATTATGATTGAAAAACTATTCAAGTTGTAAGCATAAGCTGAAAGCGGCATTGATGAAATTAAATTGTCTTTTATACGAAATAATTATCTTAGTTTCATTTATCCTAGATAGTTCCAAATGGACATTATTATTTAGTTTAACTAATAACTTAGATATGAATAAAATTCGTAAAATGTCGATGTGAAAATTTTCCACTAGAATGTGTCAAAAACGGTGCAACAAAAAGACGAAATTTTCGGAAAGCTTTAAAATGGAAGGATGGTGAATTCATTGAAAGGAGAAAGGAAGAGAAAGGGAGAAAGAGAAAGAAAGAATAGATTTTGAATGGATGAAAAGGAAATTATCTCATTTCAATGGAATAGAACCAAGACGAAAAGCATAAGTGAGTTTCTCTCATTTATACTGAATCATATAGGCTTGCTTTCTGATAGAAGATATAAGTAGGCATCGAGATAAAATTAACTTCAGCAAAATGTCATTTCTTTCACATCCTGAAATGTCCTCAAATAAAGTTAACAATCCGCTTCCTGCCTCCCACTTAACCATTTTTAAGAGGCTGTCTCTGGTAAGCTGTTCTTGCAGAATTAGAATTTTCTTGATGAGTCTCTGGCAGAACAGGGAGAATATCCACTTGCAAACAATCCAACTGGTCACACTTCTAAATACCCTATGGGACAGTGGGACATATACGGGTCGAGAAAGCTATCACACTAATCTATTCTTCTCGTGTAGTATCGAGTGAGGATGTTAGATTGCAAATATAGAAAAATAGTGAGCAATTTTGATAATGACATTTTTGAAGTTCTTCCCGCACACACATAGAAATACGCAACCTACAGCCAATACTTATTGTGTCTTATAAACAAATGACGTCATCTTTTACACATATCATAAAAATTTCATTTTATTAAACAATAATAACAAAAATAACAATGTAGCAATAATAAAATGGTTATTGGTGATAAAAATGATTGATGGCTATTAGACCGTACTAATTACTTTCATTTTAGTGTAATGATGTTTATTATCTATGAGTAATAAATGCAGAAAAACATACTATTGTCCATTTCCATAAGAATGAAATAGAAATAATTCCTCAAGAAAAAGTATAAATCCCAATTTGGCTATTTAGCAACTACATTGAAGTAAGATATCAGTAAGTTTGCTTTGTGCAGGAAACTTAATGTGCAGAGATTTAACGATTAGTAATAATTCTGAATTCCATGGCTGCAATAAAAATTTTTTTTCAATTGGCAGCTTTCGTTTTTTTTATTTTTTACATATCTAATTACCACTCAATTGCATCGTTTTGCTTATCGCTCCGAAAACAATATCATGCCAAATTTTACTGTTCAAATCTCAGAAGAGAAAGTTCTTAGACGAAATTATATTTTCATATCTGATAAGCCGCATCATCAAATGATTAGATATTAAAATCCACCAGTCATCTTAATCTAAAATTGAGTTCACTCCTTAAAGTTTAAATATCAATAGTCAGTCAGCTTGAATTTTTCATTTTTATCAAATCATGGAATTAGCTAAAAGATATATTGATTGTTATGATTTGTAATTAAAAATATATAGTTCTCTGAACATATGAATCATAGCTATTTAATCTGTCTTCACATGATACTTGATATCATATTGCAGTAGAATTAATCAATCATCTCTTCAGTTTTCTAATTTCTCGAAGGCTTCTAATGCTATTCTTTCAACATTTCTTTAATCCCTTTTTTAGCTATCAAACAAAGTAAGGCTATTTTGTGAAAAAAAACCATTCGAATGTCTTGTTCCTATTCAGCTTTCCTTAAATTTTTTCAGATGACAAATTCTTTTGCGCCTTAGTCATAATTAGGACATATTTTGTCATTTTAGATTTTTCTGACTGCTAACTAAAATTTATTTCTTAGAAATTGATGAATTTTGGGAATATAATTTCTTATAATGTTCTTAGATATGATATCAACTTCATCTTTAAATAACTTTTATTACTTCAAATTAATAAGTTCATTGCTTGAGAATGCATCAAAATGGCATAATATCAATTTGTCTCCAGGTGTTCACGAAGATTCATCAATTCAAACTGAAACTTGCTACGAATGAACAGAATGAAATAACCTTCCATAATTTTTGGATATATTTATATCATTGTCTTGAATTCAAACATTAGAAAACTTAAATTTAGTTTCATTCTTTATTTTCTGGAAATTGTCACATGAAGTTTTCAAGTCATCCACAAGAGCATTCTCGAAATGGTTACTAGAAAAATTCGATTTTTTTAAAATTCTAATCGCTGGAGAAGGACAGAACTCCAAGTTTTACCTGCTGAGAAATAGAATGGGGAATAATAATGTTATATTCCGAATCTGCTTGATTTGGATGTGAAAAGTTTGATTTGATCGAATCAAGCGTTTGACTTGTCACCATGCCAACTGTCTCCACATCTCCATTTTGCTCTGATTCTTCTTCTATCCTAAAAATTGAGTAATTAATTCATATACTGAAGAACAATTGTAATTATTTATTTTTTTGCTAATGTAGTATTTATATATTTTCATGAAATGTATTACTTGAATATGGATTAATCAAATAAGGTTCTTTTATCAACCTTTAGGAAAAATATTTTAACTGAATTCCATCATACAATTTCATGTATGTAACTTTTACACAAAGAAAAAAAAATTTTTTAACAAGAAAAAAGATTAAAAATCCCGGTAACTAGCCGATGAAGAATATATTTCTGCTGTGAATCTGGTTCAGATATTGAGTAGTCTAGTTCTGGAGAAAATCCATAAATTTCTCTATCAATTCGTTGCTGAGATCCTAAAATGTCTTACAGTTTATATTTTATATTTTTATGTATTTTGAG